AAACATCAGAGGTGGGATCAGGTGCCATGGAGGAGTGAGCATCCCCTGCCGACCGGTCACACTCGCCGTGTGCTCGTTGTCATGATCAGGAAATAACGGAAAAAAACCCGTCTTCAATTCAGTGTATAAATAATGGACTAACAATTGGCATGAAAAACGTCAGTCAGCATTGGACTCAATAATAAATTGTATTTGCTGACAAGGTCATTGTATCAACCATAGAATTTACGAAATGATGACTTTAAACGAGACTGCTGATATTCTTGTTTTATCAAATTGCTTGTCAATAATCTACCTCGTTGAAGAAATTGTTCATACGTAGAGCATACTCTTGCGTATCGAATCAACTGAAATATATATACTCCGTATGCAGGTGATGAAGGTATATTGCTGCATAAGTAAGGGAAGTTGACGATAGAAAAGTTAAAGTCATCACGTTTATCATATAGCTTAGTTGTTAGATTACCATTAGTGTCTTTTTCAAGTAAAATATCCAAGTATGAAGCAGAAGTGTCGGACTCTGTTGTATCTTTTATCTCAAGCTCAGCAGGATATATCGTGTCAACGTAGGAATGGAAATTATCATTATTAATTGACAATACGTCCACGATATATCTAAATGTCGAGTTGAAGGCCACAGCAAGTGTTTTCTTCTTTTCACGCATAAGATTTTGGATAAACTCTGCTTCATATGAATATAAAAATAAGTCTGCTAATAACGGAGCGCAATTTGTACCCATGGGAATTCCAATAGATTGTTGGAATACCTGGTCTCCAAAAACCACATAGATATTGTCAATCAGAAACTCAAGCATCTTCTTGATGTAAACTTCAAAGTACTTACATGTATGTGTGCAATCAGAATCTGTTTTAACAAAACAATTTTTCAAATGACCAATGACGAGGTAAGTAAATTTACGAGTTCCATTTTTGTTGAAGAAGCAGCTGTCAATGATATCAAAAAGCCTGGATTTTAATTTGTTGTGGGGAATTGTTGTGTATAAAGTTGAAAAGTCGTAAGTTTTTAAGCTGTTGATTTTTGTAAAGTCTTGTGATTTCAAATTGTTCAAAAGTTCTCTAGAATTTTTAAGTATCCACATCTGATTAACACCACACCTTGAATATATAGTTGTACAGTACTCTTGAAGTTTTTCCTTCTCTACTGTCAATATTTTAGTGAGAAGTAACGAAGGAGGCTTGGTTGAACATTTACTGGAATCTGCAATGAATCTTTGTTTGTAAGGATTCTTATGAAGTTTCGGAATCAACTACATATATGATAGTTCCAATTCATTTTGGCTCTGTGGAATATTAAAAGTATTCAAAACTGACATGTGACTTTGATGAATTTCTTCCTTAGACAGAGAAGTATGAGTATAAGTAGGATTACCACTTGTAGAATTATATCCTAGTTATTCTAGAATGCAATTTATATAATGAGCCTAACAAACGAAGACAATGTTGTTACCTGCTTTGTCGGCAGGAACCAGTAGGTATTGATCGTGTAATATATCTAATTCTTCTTTCACTTCTGGTTTATTGAACACAGAAGGATAGATGGTTTTCATTTTGCCCCTCAATCTATTAATACGTGACTTTAACATGGATCTGATATATTTAATCCATTCTGACAAGGTGTCAATGTCTTCTTTTTCATATCTGGCCCATCGTCTGGCGTAATTTTCAACAGAATCCATAATATTTATCAAATTCCGACGCCTGTTAAAGGATCGGGGTTCCCTATATTTAGGACCTTTTAAAATAAGTGATCTAAGGTCCTCATTACGAACTATATTTACGTCACCTGTAATAACGTGTCCAGCAGGACTATAGTTATAGGGCAAAGAAGAAAATGAACACGAAGGGGGATTATTTTTCTGATAGTTGATATCCAGGTCATGTAAAGTGTTTTTGTAATTGACAAGTTTGGAAGCAATAGTCGATGTATATTTGTAGGAAATACAAGGTGTAGTCTTTAACTTGAAATATGCTGGAATACAAGACTGGACCCTTTTGTGATTGAGAGTATTACTTATATTAACCGCGTCAATTACTTTATTGAAAAGATATGTATCTTTAATTAAGCAATTTGCTATCAAAGACCTCCAATTAGCACTTTGAAAAATAATTGAATATTTGAACAATGATATAAGTATTAAAAACCTAAGATATTGTTTATTTTAGATTTTAAACATATTAGATATGATAAAAAGGATGCACCCATTCTCTATCCACCTTTAATAAAGATCTCTCCTGAGACAGAAGATTTGTGTTTTAATGGTCGCCATGCTTATTTTTCGAAAGGATGTTATTATCCACCCATTCTGTTGCCGAGATATGACCATTTCTAAATAAACTTATCATAAAAATTAACTCACATGGAAAGAAATATAAAACTCGGAAAAAATCTTTTAACTTTTGTGACAAAATGCTACGGAGGTGGTCAGGTGACCGCCAATATCACGTGATTTGCACATGCACAGAACGGTGGTTGATGTGCATTAAAATCGGGGAGGATATATTTAAAACATAATCAACATTAAAACCAAATGTTGTTTCTTGTATTAAAGTTATGCAATTAGTTTCCGAACTTTTTTATCACCCCTCGTTCCACTGAAAATTTTGTATAATAATATGTATTTGTATAGATCAACTAGCTCATAAACTGTTAACCATCCAAGTTTCTCAAACAGTGGCTTAGAAGAAGAATCTGCACTTGCGTCAAGAATATAATCCTTGCTCCCCTTTTCTGTAATTTAAATAGTCTGTCCATGTCCTGCTTGGGGGCATTACCTCAGATAGTCAAAAAATAGTTAATAGATGGTAAAATATAAGCATTGTAATATCGTTTTCTGGTATGTAAAGGGAGATATTTCTTAATCCTTCGAAGAGTAAATAACTTATAATTTATCGTTTTACAAACCGAATCAATATGATTTGCATACTGTAACTTATCATCAATATGTACACGAACATTTTTTTTCAGTTTCAACCATTTCAATTGTTTTGTCTGAGGCATAAAGTTGTAAATTTGGATTATCTAATTTTGCTGTGTTCCCATTAACATACATTTTGTTTTATCTACATTTAAAACCATTTGATTTTGAGCAAACCATTTCTCAATCTCACAAAGATCTGAATTTAGTGTATTTTCTAAACATCTTGCATTTTTATTATTAGAATACAGAGTTACATCATCAGCAAACATATCAATATTTGAATTGTTTACATGTAATGGAAGGTCATTTATGTACAATAAAAATGAAAGTGGGCCCAAAATTGACTTTCGTGGCACTCCTGCTGTGACGGGTAGAATATTGGAGACACATGATCCAAATTTAACACACTGGGTCCTATCGTAAAGATATGATTTAAACCACTTTATAGCTGTTTGGTCAAATTTGTAATGGGTTAATTTCTCTAAAAGAATATCATGATTCAATAAATCAAATGCGTTACTAAAATCTATAAATGTAATACCGATCAGTTCACCACGATCCCTTGCAGTAGGCCAACTTTCTGTTAGTTTTGTTAGTAAAGTTTGACAGAAATGGAGTTCCCCTAACCCCGACTGGGATTGTGTAAGTAGATCAAATTCATTAGTGAAATTTTGTATTAGCTTAGCTACATGTTTTTCTATCAATTTAGATATAGTTGGTAGAATAGAAATAGGACGATAATTATTCGGGTCAGCTTTGTCGCCTTTCTTAAAAGTAGGTGTTACTTTGGCTTGTTTTAAATTTGTCGGGAAAATACCACTTACTATGCTAGCCTTAATAAGATGAGTTATAGGTTTACATATATATTTAGATGTGACTTTCAGAAGACGCGGCCCAATAAAGTCAATGCCGGCTGATTTATTGACATTTGAGAATTAACATGTTAAAAACATCACTTTCCTCAATTTGATGAATACTAAACACGGTTTCCTCATCAAGCTTAGACCTAAGAAAATTACATAATATATTAGTTAATTGTCAACAATTTCCCCATTAGAAGACACATGAGATGGAGTTGTTTTCTTATGATTACATGTTAATTGATTAAGATAGTTCCACATTTCTTTGGAATTTCAACTCTGTTCAATCGCTGTTTTATAGTAAAAAGATTTTGATTTGTTTATAAGAATGCTAACTTTGTTTCGATAAATTCTATAGTTCTCCATGTCTCCTTCTTTGTGGTAAAAGTCCCGTAAATGTCTAGCATTGTTTATTTCTTGTGTCATCCATTTAGGACGAATTTCACTCTTTACTCTTTTTGTTTTAACCTGTGCATGCTGGTCAAGTATGCTATTAAATAATTCATAGAATTCAGTTAGTATTTCATAAGGGTCATGCATATGGAGGAGATTGTTAAATTCTACATGTTTTAAGTCTTGGAGGAATTTATTTTCATCAAACTTTTTGAAGTCTCTATACTGAATTTCTATGTGTTTTCCTTTTGTGCGGCATGCATTTTGTTTTTCTAGTGGCACATATTAGGTAGTGATCAGAGATGGCTATAAAAGGTATATTTACTTCACACATGTTATCTAAAGTGATCTATTAGGGTACTTGAGGTTTTAATTACTCTGTTTGGTACTGTAATTAATTGTGAAAAACCAAACTCCTCTAAAGCATATGTCCAACTTTGTGGGGGTTCTTTGAATAAGTCTACATTAAAGTCAATTGTTAAAATAATTTCTGCATCGTCACAGCAGGAGGCAATTTAAAATTTACAATTTGTAATGCAATTGCAATGCACGTCACTACAACATACATATATACATAGATCAAGCAAACACCAAAGAGTTTTCAGGGTTTTATTTTTTTCATTATTTTATTTCTTTATTTTTCCAAAAAACAAAAAAGAGAGCGGGACAATAAAACAAATTAAAAATCCGACTCAAGAATAAAAAAAAAACTCGCAAACAACTTTTCAATACCAGAAAACCTTATCAAAGTTGGGGAATTTTTTAACACATGTACAAATAACTATTCTTTACCAGAAAATATGAAAATATGAAAAAACGACAACCCCATCCCCCACCCCCTGGGATAAGGTTTTTTTCCCAGGGGGTGGGGGATGGGGTTGTCGTATTTTCATATTTTTTAAAACGTGTACATGTCCTGGGGGCTTAAATATATTTTTATAGTGTCTAAGGTTATTTTCATATCTCGGAAAACCTGAGCTTCGTGCATAATCGTTGAATAGTTTGATAAAATAACTTATCCTGATTTCAGGACTTTCATTTTTCCGCTGAGGATAAGGGGAGGTAAACCCATTTCTTTATTTCCTTTTATGGCCGCCGTTTTCTTCTGTTCAGTAAACGGTGATCTACAGACGTACGGGATACTCCTATCGAATACTCAGATCCACCACTGGTTTCAGAAGGCAAGATTCTGTCTTGGTCTGTTTGTTTGTTTCTCTGTATGTTTAAAACGTCCCTCTCGAGAAATTCTCACTCAAATGCCCGGAGACGTCACCGCTTCATGAACTTGTCGTTAGAGAGCTGCAAATTTTATCCTAAACTTGGTACTTTGGTTATTGGGGAATCTTTTTGTGGCAACACCTACTGCGGCATGGAATCTCGGTTTATACGATCTCTTCTGAAAGACTGCTCTCCCACAGTTAGATCTGAACCGGCGACGTTCGGATCAACTCTTGACTCTAGAAAAGACGCTCTAATCACAAGCTGTTCCACGTGGGCGACTGTCTCGAAATGTAAAACCAAAATGGAAAGAATTATCCGCAACTTAGTGTTTGTTTGAGCTTATAAAGTCATATGACACACTAGAGGGAAGCGAAGTAGTTTCCAATTTCAAAAGTTTTCATGCGAAAAAATCTGTACACAGAAAAAGTTTTGAATTATTTTGTTCCTTTTTATTTTCTTTTTTTAGGTATTATGTTATTTTGTACGGGAATGTACATGAACATCCGATCTGACAGTTTGCTGACGTCATTACGGAACGAGAAAGAAGGCGCGTACAGTACCGACCAGACCCAACCTGACACAAAGCAGTCCCAGAGCAGTCCCGGGGACTGCTTTCTGGGACTGCTAAAGCAGTCCCACAAGGGTCCCAGAGCAGTCCCAGAGCGGTCCCAGCAGTCCCAGCGGTCCCAGAGAGCAGTCCCAGCAGTCCCAGAAAGCAGTCCTAGTGGGCAGGATTTATTAATTTAATGGGCGGAGCTAACTCAGAAATGAGATTTCCAATAAACAATGGAACTATAAAAGGCAGTAGAAATTGATTCTGGGTAGTATACCAGGAATCCTACATGTATGTAGGCGAAGGTCATTTATGAACAGAACATGTACGCGCATAAAAATTGAAATAATTATATTTATTGGAGGAAGAAGGCTTTCACACTTACATGTACATATATAAATTACACTGAATATGAATATTCAATCACAATTCTTATATTAATAATGTTATATTAATAATTCTTCTGTGATTGATACTGGTTCCCATATTTATTTTTTATTCAGAAAATTAATTGTGAATTAATTATTTTCCACCAGAAGAAGCTTTAAATAGATCTTATCATTAATGGCCAATTTAGACTTTCGGGATACTCTAAACATTAGAGTTTTCTTAAGTATCGGGGCTTTTAAAAAAAGTTCTTTGTTAATTTTGCCAAGTTTTATTTTTCAGCCATGATTTTTTTACTGACATGTCAATTTAATTATCGCTAATGCCTAGTTCTATAAAACTCAGGTTTAAGTTTATTTTTTGTAAATGTTAGAGCTAGGGTACATCAGATCTGTGAATCACCAGAATGGAAGCTTCAGATTATGTTCAAAATTAATTAATCCCGAAAGAAATTTATACACATTTCATTTATCATATTTTTTTTAGCATTAAATAAACTGAAAATTAGGGTAATTGTTTACCAGCAGGTTCAATGATGTGTAACACTGATACAAATATCCAAATAACATGTATCGATTTTTCTGCCCCAAGGCGATTGAAACAGTGGGTGTTGATACCATCTTATAAACATTAATCGGCCAAGTAAACACTAGCACAAAAAAGAAATAAATCTCAATTCCCGGTATTTTCAATTAAAAAAAAATTATATTCTTTAAATAACTTATTTATAAATTAAAAGCTACCGGTAATTCATTAATTCCCCAATGATTATTCACATAGTTTATGTTACGGAAGAATGGTAGCATAATTTTATTTCATGGTCATTTAATAAATTGTTGGGTTTTATTTGAGGGTTACATGAAATACTCTTTTTTACGCGTGGTCCCTATAAAATGTGTAGCATTTTTGATTAAAAAAATCTTATATCTATAACTGAAATGATATTTTAATAGTACCAATGCAAATTTTGAGGACATAATTTAACATTAAATAATTTTTAAAAAGCCCAGATGTAGCTATTTTTTTTTCTCACAAACTTGTAGTTTATTTTTAGGGATAAAAATTTTCTCATGAATTATAATTATTCCTTATTTATCAACTTTTTTTTAACTAATCTAAACTACCATTAATTTGTGTAAGTATACAGTCCCTGAAAATATTAATTAACTATAATAATCTCTACTTATTAAAAGAATGTAAGAAATCCTTGCTTATTTAACAGTTTAAATTCCTCACTGCTGCAAGTAAACAAAACAACAGGGAGCCTGCAAATTCAGAATACACAAGGGGCGGAGCTACCATGTCACTCAGAACCTTTTTCACACATGAGTGAACAAAGCAGTCCCAGAAAGCAGTCCCATGGGCAGCTGGGACTGCTGGGACTGCTTTTCATAGCAGTCCCAGAGCAGTCCCATAGCGGTCCCAGAGCAGTCCCACAGCGGTCCCAGAGCAGTCCCGCAGCAGTCCCAAAGCAGTCCCGGGGACTGCTTTCTGGGACTGCTTTGGTGTCAGGTTGGGTCTGGTCGGTACTGTATCAAACTCCAAGAGGTATTCAGACATATTTTTCCCGTTCTGTGGTACATATACATATACATGTATATAGTATTCAGAAATCAGGGGAAAATGCAAAGAGAATTGTATGTGAGTTTTCTTCTCTTTGAATTAGGGTTGCTAACTTTATTTGATTTTCTCGGTAGGATTTCTAATTGAGCACACTTCTAGGTTGTTAACTTTTATTTTTATCCCTAGCATTTCTATTCGAGCACGCTTCTATGTCATTTTTTCATCCCTAGAATTTCCAATCGAACACGCGCCTATGTTGCTATCTTTTATTTTTATCCCTAGGATTTGTACTCTAGTACGTCTCTGGTTTTTACTTTTATTTTTATCCCTTGGATTTCTATTCGAGAACGTCTCTTGTGCTAACTTCCTGGGAGAAATAGTGGAGTGGATCGGTTTTTCTGTGGCGTGTTTTAATCTCCCCTCTTTGGCATTTGCTGTATTCACTCTGTGTTATATCGGCCCTAGGGCTGTCCATCATCACAGGTAATTTACCGAGTATATATGCACTCTATTTGAAAAAGACTATAGAAGTTTAATTTTTTATGGCATTGAGCTCACTTATAACTTTTTAATTCAGCAATAAAAGCAATGTACCAATTTCATCATTATCACATCAATGATCGCTTGTTTTATTCAATTGCATTTATTTTGTAGATTTTATCAGGAGAAATTTGAGGATTATCCAAAAGAAAGAAAGGCCCTGATTCCGTTTCTTCTTTAGGACGGGGTTTCAGCTACAGAATCACAGGGATCATGCAATAATTATACTTACATTTGTATATATTTTCATGAATTTCTTAAGTTATGAAAAAATAAGGAGAAAAAAACTATACCTGCGAATTTGATCTGTCTCATTGAAGAGTGTTTTCATTTATTAGGTAAACTATTTTCCTGAACACTTTTCACGGTTGATTAATTGTATGCATGGTGTTTTACGCCAAGTTGGCAGTGCATTTACAAGTTACCAATTTGGTATTAACTTTCATTTACTGCAATTTCAAGATCCATGTTAAAATCACGTATTAAAAGATTGAGTGGCAATTTGAAAACCATCTATTCTTCTGTGTTCAATAAACCAGAAGTGAATAAAGAATTAGATAGATTACACGATCAGTACGTGCTGGTTCCTGCCGACAAAGCAGGTAACAACATTGTCTTCGTTTGTAAGGCTCATATTATATAAATTGCATTTTAGAAGAACTGGGACTTAATTCTACAAATGGTAATCCTACTTATACTAATACTTCCCTTTCTAAGGAAGAAATTCTTCAAAATCACCCTCAGTTTTGAATACTTTTAATATTCCACAGAGCCAAAAAGAATTTGAACTACCTTATATATATTGGATTCCGAAACTTCATAAGAATCCTTAAAAACAAAGACACATTGTAGGTTCCAGTATATGTTCAGCCAAGCCTCTTTCTTTACTCTTCACTTAGATATTGACAGTAATGAAAAAAAACAACTTCAAGAGTACTGTACAACTATTTATTCAAGAAGTGGTGTGAATCAGATGTGGATACTAAAAAATTCTAGAGGACTTTTGGACAATTTGAAATCACAAGACTTTACAAAAATTAACAGCATAAAAACTTACGACTTTTCAACTTTATACCCAACAATTCCCCACAACAAATTAAAATCCAGAATTTTTGATATCATTGACAGCTGCTTCTTCAATAAAAATGGAACCCGTAAATTTACTTACCTCGTCATTGTCATTTGCCAAATTATTTTGTTAAAATGGATTCTGATTGCACACATGAGTACTCTGAAGTTGACATCAAGAAGATGCTTGAGTTTCTGATTGACAATATCTATGTGGTTTTTAATTACCAGGTATTCCAGCAATCTATTGGAATTCCCATGGGTACAAATTGCGCTCCGTTATTAGCAGACTTATTTTTATATTCATATGAAGCAGACATTATGCATAATATTAAGCGTGAAAAGAAGTAAACATTGCTTTCTGTGGCCTTCAACTCAACTCGACATTTAGATATATCGACGATGTATTGTCAATTAATAATGGTAATTTCCATTCCTACGTCGATACGATATATCCTGGTGAGCTTGAGAGTAAAGTTAACACAGAGTCCGACACTTCTGCTTCAAACTTGGATATTTTACTTGAAAAAAAAACTAATGGTAATCTAACAACCAAGCTATATGATAAACGTGATGACTTTAACTTTTATATCGTCAACTTCCCTTACTTATGCAGCAGTTTACCGTCATTACCTGCATACTGAGTATATATATCTCAGTTGATTTGATACCCAAGAGTATGCTCTACATATGAATCGTTTCTAAAACAAGGTAAATTATTGACAAGCAAGCTGATGAAACAAGAATATCTGAGCAGTCTCGTTTAAAGTCATCATTTCGTAAGTTCTATATTCGATACAATGACCTTGTCAGCAAATACAATTTATCACTGAGTCAAATGCTGACTGACGTTCTTCATACCAATTGTTAGTCCATTATTTATACACTGAATTGACGACGGATATTTTTCCGGTTTTTCCTGATCATAACAAGGAGCACACAGAGATGTGACCGGTCGGCAGGGGATGCTCACTCCTCCATGGGGGTCCGTGTTTGCTCTGCTCTTATTTTGTATTGTTTTATGGACTTTGAGATTGAATACTGTTTGTTATCTCCTTATCGTTCTTCCATATCAATAACAATGGCTTCGATGTTATTAAAAAGATTTTTCCCTAAACATTCCTTTGTGAAAAAAAAATCATACCCATTGTGACCCTCCCTATCTCTGGAATCCTGATTAGAACAGATGTGAATGTACACAATCTAGTGATGCTTGCATATCCATATAGCTAAACTATCGCTTTTACCAATAGTTTCATGTAAAAGAAAAAGGAAATTTGGGGAGTAATAAGTATTGTCAAAACTCGGCTTTCTGAAAATATTTACATGTAGTATGGTAGAACTGCGTTTGTAAAAATTGAACTATTTTAAGGTAGTTTTCTAATGTATAAAATCCTTAAAATGCATGAGCCCCCAGGACCCCCACCAGGGCCCTGCCCTTACCCGCTGGGGGCCTTATGGCGGCCCCCAGACCCCTTGCTTTTTTAGCATACAGTGAATAACTCGCTAGCTACGCCACTGGAAGCTGCTAATAATTGGAATTTTTCAAAGTCCACTAGGAAAAATTCTGTCAAAAATAGGTCCATAGTACCCAAAACAGAACTTGACCTAGCTATAGATATATCATTATGATAAATCTGTATACCAAATTTCATGTCAGTCAAAGCAACGTCTGCGAGGAAATAGAACGAAAACTGCTGGTGGACAGTATATTTCAAAAACAGCTTAAACCTGTCTCTAAAATTGTTTTTTTTTTCAGAAATCACACGGAGATAGTTGCATAAATTAAAGTATACCTTTTATTTTCTCCCGATCATAACAAAAAGGACAAAGCGGATGTGACCGGTCGGCAGGGGATGCTAACTCCTCCATGGCGCTTACACCGGTCGGCAGGGGATGCTCACTCCTCCATGGCGCTTACACCGATCGGCAGGGGATGCTCACTCCTCCATGGCGCTTACATGATGTTTTGGAGGTTCGTATTTCTCTACTCCAATTTTGTATTCATTATTTAATGGACTTTTGAGCTTAATTACTGTTCGTTATCCCCTTATAATTCATGATATGATGCATATCTTTCACAGGGATAAATAAAAAAAGTTGTTCACTAGCTGTAGATCTGTAGCTCTCCAAAAAATTATTTTGACAGACCGGAGAGCTACAGTGCCACCATTGTAAAAAACTGATACTTATTGCGCACAAAAAGTTGAGCTTAGTTTTAGGGTAATTCTTTCAAATTCTTACTTCAATTGTTATCTGTTTGGTCCAGCGTGGCGCTCTTTGTTACACCCTGAAGTATGTGTGTTATGAAATCGGGGAACTTTTTTTCTTATCAGGACGACAGTATTTGATTAAGCTTTAATCTAAATGCTTCATTCATTTGTTTGAATAAGATTTGAGAAACGAACTTTCATTTTGACACAGTAAACAGGTTCTTAAACATGAAAAAGCTAAGAATCACATAATTCAAAGGATTATTTGACGTACATGTATGATCCCCAGTATATTGACAAAAATTAAATGTCAAAATTTTACTCTAATTCTTGAATGCAACTAATCACTGGTATAAGTACCTTAATGGAAAATTAGTTTTAATAAAACTGTTAAATTTGGAAGGTAAGAAGGGTATGGAGATAACAAATGTTATTCAATCTCAATGTCATGTTGTTATCTGTTTCGTTGGAACAATATAAATACTTTGACTTTTTATTCGAACGAGTGAATATGAGAAACAATATCCGAGATCAAAATGTATCAATTCATAACATCCTCGTCTGGAACTTAGAAATGAAAAAAAAATTTAAAAAATACTTAAATTTACATTTCTAGAATTCCCGTTCTACTATACATGCAGCTCACATACCTGTTCGTTATCTTCATATCAGTTAGTAAGTTATTTACTCAACAACATCATGAACAGACTTTTTTGTATGTTCATGTATCATGGCCTACACAGTTTTGCTCAACTGTCAAAATAAATAAAATGCACAAATAGAACAACATTTTTAACATCAACAGACTCAAGTTTTTCTTTCATGAAATTTCGAAGCATAAGAATATGGAATTTTGTTGGATTTTTAATATGCAAAGAATATAATGTTGGTGAATATCTATTAGAATATGTATATATCGGAATAAAAATGACCAAATAAGATGATGATAATTATATATTTCATTCACATTTTTAAAGATTTAAATTCCCTGAATATATTTCATGAAATTTTCCTTGTTCTTTTATTACAAAATTACATTATTTGTTAAGTAAATATAAATTATTATATTTCATATTGCATTCAAGAAAAGTTGAATTTTAAAAACATAGGCATTTTTATTAATCATATAATATTTTAGAACGTCTCAAGGTTAATTCGGTATGCAAGAGCATGTCTGCGCAGGAACAATTTCTTAAAAGAAATAAATTATTGACAAGTAAGTAGATGATTCGAAAACAAAATTACAATTTATCGTTCAGTCGTTCAGTCGAATGCTGGTGCATGTTTTTCATATAATTTGTTAAGTTGTGACGAATCGACCTTTGATTTTTACTTTTCTGTTGTACATGATCCCATAATTGTTGATTTATTTTTAGGTCTGCTCAAATTCTTTATTTACGGATAAGGTTTGATGGGAACAATCGTTTTGTCGGACCGGTCAAGAACCAAACTCATAGCCTGATCCTATTATGCCTCGGAAAATAATCAAGACCTTAGGGAATTGAAATCTAACTGATGATTTATATGTACTTTAACTGTACAATAGCACCAATCGTTAGATCGATAACAGTTAACCAAAAGATAAATTAGAGAATATATTTGATAGTCAAGAGATGATAAATCAGTCTAGCAATCCTATGTTCTGCGGTCTGTCATAAGAAAGCCTTTCGAATTACACTCAATTTAATCTCGTTTCTGCATCCTTTTTTGGGAAATATTTCTTTGGAACTTTTTGATATAGTCAGTGTGTTTCAAAGGAAGCATATGGAAAAAAGAAAATGGGTAAAAGAAGCATCCTGGGACGTACAAGTTTTTTTAGAAAAACAACTACTCTCTGCCAGGCTTTAGAAAAAGCAAGTCCAGAGGCATTCTCCTGAAAGCCATCACTTTAACCAATTCAAAACAAGAAAACATTGATGTATTTACCAATTGT